GTCTGCGGAGTCACTTGAGTTGCACTCAGGTCCCTGCGAGCATTTCAAAGACCACATTCAATTTTCAGGTGACATTCCCACAGCTCTGCTCTGAGAGCAAGCCCAGGCCCCTGAGGAGCGTGGGGGTGCTGGCAGAGGGATCCACTTCTGCCTAATCAAAGACAAGCCATTCAAGACCCGACCGGCCTTCTGCTTTGCCCTGCTCCAAACCATGGCCTTGCAATCAGGAGGGGACCCTGCAGCTCTTGGGGCAGACAGATGCCAACAGAAAGGATTCTCCAGCTCCAAACCCTCCTGCTCTTCCCTGGGGGCAGCTCCAGTCCCTGAAGGAGGCAGGAGCCCCAGACTGCTGCCAGCAGTGCTCAGACAGGACTGGAGTATTCCCAGAGCCCTCTGGCCACTCTGTGGCCCCAGACCTGGATGGTCTCTCGTTTCTGAAAGTTTCTGTCCCAGCTGCTTGGGTGCTTTGCAGCTGGGGACACACCACAACTGATTGGACTTGTTCGGCCAGTGCTGGGGACAGTTGTGCCTCCAGCACAAAGAGGCTGGGAGAAGAGGGAGATTTGCTCCTGGATCTCTGCTTCCTGAGAACAGGCCACTGGGGAGACACAAAGATCTCTGTTGATCTGCTCCAGAGGAGTCAAGACTTACAGATAGTTGACTGAAGGCAGCTTGAAGAATGCTGTGTCAGCAATCACGGTCAGGGGGTTGTGGCTTAGGATCCTGAAAAAGCAGCAGAGAGGTGTGAGGGGTGATGGGAAGGACGTGAGCTCTGTGGGTCAGGGCAGGTGGGGATGGCGTGGCTGGTTCAAGGAAGCCCTGGAGAAGAGAAGCAGGTCGAGGGAAAGGGGCTTTCCGGCTGCAGACTCCTGGTGCTCCCTGGCTGACATCCACAGTGGGATTCAGTACTTTACACAGGGCAGAGCAGCTCTGCCCCAGTGTCCCTGCGGGGTCTGGCTCTGATGGGCCTTTGGACCTTGTCCCACTTACAGCTCCTCTAGAAACTGCATCCCGTGCCATGCCTGGAAGGTGCTGCTGTGGATCTG